CGGGACACGGCACCCAGAGCTGCGGGGGCGCCGCTCGCCCCATCGGGGCGGCCCTGCAGGTGCTTTGGGCGCCCTGGGTGCGGAGCAGCCTCCGCGGAGGGTCCGTCTGTCCCTCCCCGCGCTCCAGGGTGGCCGGGACGGGGGCTTCGTCTCCCTGCGCTGCACCTTGCGGCCCTGCTGCCCGACGGGATGCGCGTGGGGTGTGTGCGGGATGCAGGCGGGATGCACATGGGATGCGTGCAGGGTGCTCTCGGGATGCACATGGGATACGTGTGGGATGCAGGCAGGATGCATGTGAGATGTGCACGGGGAGCCCTTGGGATGCACACGGGATGTGCACAGGGAGCCCTCGGGATGCAGCCGGATGCATCCTCCATCCCGACGCTGCCCCCCCGGCTCCGTCGCCCACCGCCCCGGCCTGACTCGTCCCCCGGAGCCGCCCGCGTCGTGCCCGCTCGGGGGGCGCGGGGAGCAGCGGGGCCCCGGGCGCCCCCGGCTCCGCTCTGACCGCCGGCCGCCCCCTCTGCGGCTCCTGTAGCCCCCGCAGCATCGAATCCCGGTGTCCCGTGTGAAGGTGTCGCATCCTTCACCCCCGCGGTGCTGCTCCGGATCTCCCAGGGCACCTCCGGGAGCACCGGGAAAGGCCGGCGCCTACCCGGGCCCCGCGGGATGAGCAGCTCCTGCCGGGATGGGGCTGGGTGCCGGGCAGCCCCGCAATACGGAGCCGAGCCCGGAGATGCCGGACGGCTCCGACCTTTTATCCAGAGCARTGGGGACTTCCTCCTCCCGTTTTATTCCGGGCAGCATCCACCTGTGGCGGGAGCCTTTCCCAGGTGCGGTCGCTGGGCCCTGGCACCCTTCCCGGCAGGCGGATGCTCCAAGCTCCGTGCCCGCTGGGACGGTCCTGGAGCCTCCAGGACGGCGCCGGCACCCGGCTTATCCCGGGAGCGCCGTTAAACCCTCTCGGGATGCTGTGGATAACGGGGAGCTCCGGAGCGGCGTGGGGGTGCGCTGCCCCGCTGGGAGGCCCCGTGGGGACACGAGGGGACACGAGGGGACACGAGGGGACGGAGGGGGCTGCGGGACCACCCTGACCCCCCGCTCCGCAGGCTGGCGCTCTACGTCTACGAGTACCTGCTGCACGTCGGCGCGCAGAAGTCGGCGCAGACCTTCCTGTCCGAGGTGAGAGCGGGATCCCCCCGGATCTGCCGCATCCCGCCACCCCCTGGGTGCTTCCCGCCCAGGATAATGGTAACCGACCCCCCCATTTCTCTTTCCCGCCCTGCAGATCCGGTGGGAGAAGAACATCACGCTGGGAGAACCCCCCGGCTTCCTGCACTCCTGGTGGTGGTTAGTGCCGGGGGGCTGGAATTTGGGTTGGGGAGGGGGCGTCACGAGAGCCGCTGCCCCCATCCTGCTTCCCGGCTGTGTCCTGGCYGCCGCGGCCGGGCCCCGCCGAGCCCGGCTGCTCCATATGGATCCAATTTGGGCGGCCCCGAAATGCAGCCGGAGCCGGGATTGGCGGGGGGGGTGCGGGGGCTCCCACCTCCTCCTGGCGCTGGAGCCAGAGGAGCCGCCGCGGGCGCCCGGATCCAGCCCCCCCCCCGGCGGGGAGACCCCATCCCCACGGGTCACCCCATTCCCGAGGAGCAGCCGGGAGCCGCCGGCCTGTCCCCATCCGTGCCGTGATCCCRCCGGGATCTCCGCACCCCCCGCGCACCGCTGGGAAATCCCAGGCAGGAGCCAGGGGGGCATCCTTGGCACCCCCCCCCCCCAATCCTGGGATGCTGCYGCCTGATGTCAAGTCCCAGGAATCCGAGCCGGGCTCCAGCTGATGTTCCTAGCAACCGTTTCYAGGGAAAACACGGAGCGGGCGGCGGGAGGCCCCGGGGAAGGGGCCGCGCGCAGGTGTCACGAGCGCGGCAGGGCTCAGCCTGGCCGGCGCCGGCGGGGATGGGGGCGGGATGAGGGGGACCCCCCCGTGTCCCCCCCGTCCCGTGACGGTCCCCTTGTCCCCACAGCGTCTTCTGGGACCTGTACTGCGCGGCGCCCGACCGCCGCGAGCCCTGCGAGCAGCCGAGCGAGCCCAAGGCCTTCCAGGACTACGTGAGTAGGGGGGGTGCCCGGGCACATCCCGCCCCCCCGCCCGTTATCCCGGTGTGTCCGGATCCTGCGGCGTCGGGATCCCGGCTTGGGGGGGGGTCCCCGGCCTCCCTGCCCCAGCCTCCCCCGGCCTCGCAGCCCTGCGGGGGGGCTGGCGCCCGTGGCTGCACAGGGAACGTGTGGAGTGAGTGCGAGGGTTCTCAGCACGCGTG